TGAAGCATGGCAGTCACGCTAGAGGAATATACCAGAATCCAAATTTTTTTTGAACTTGGGCGGAGCCAGCGTGAAACAGCCAGAAACATTGGTGTATCTTTGTCGACTGTTCAGCGGGTAGTCCAGCGGTACCAAGAGACCGGATCACACCTTAGAAGACCAGGAAATGGCAGACCAAGATGCACAATGGCCAGGGAAGACAGACAACTGGTAGCTACAATGCTCCGAAATCGTTTTCAAACTGCTGTTGGTCTAAAAACTCACTTTATTCGCTTTGGAGGTGCACCAAACCTTGCACCTACCGACTATTACTTTTTCCAAAATTTAGACAACTTTTTAGTGGGTAAAAAGTTCAATTCCCGAAAGGCAGTACAAAATGCCTTTGAAGAGTTTGTTGCCTCCCGTCCAGCTGATTTTTACAAGAAGGGCATCAATAAACTGTCAATGCGTTGGCAAAGATGCGTCGATTGCATAGGTGAATACTTTGAATAACAGAAATAAAAAAGTTTGTAAAAATAAGTACTTTCACTTATTACATACAAAACGGCAATTTCATAGGTAAAGACCTAATATTTAATCGATTATTTAGTTTCACAATAAGATCTAAATATGGTACCGTATTTAGTGATTTCCTTAAGAAAAATATAACGGTTTTTATTACACATTTAAATGGGTTAACTGCTGGGCCCAGGATTGCACATCTTCTTTTCTCGACGTTACTGGGCTTGTCAAAATTGTGAATATTAGTTTATTAAAATCATATTGTCTTCGTTGGTGTGTTGTGGTGTGTGCAAGCTGGTGTGACATCGACAACACAGATGACACACGAAGCAACAGTGGAAAAGAACTTATTAGCCAATCGTTGTACTCTATTTCTAGCTTTGTCAGACATATAAATGATAAGATAGGATGATTAAAACTAAAAGAAGTAAAAAATTAAAATAACCAAATTATTTTTTGACGATCAATAACTTTATTTTCTTAATTAACTTCTTATGTTTAAATTATGTACACAACCGTATCATAATATCGATAAACTATAAAAAAAATATTAATTAAACTTATATTATCTTACAAACTACGCTATATAGTTCCATCTATTATTTCGTACCTTTTTAAAGTATTAATTTTTATATTTATTTTGTTAATTTTTTTTCATCAAATTTTAACAAATATCGTACACTAATCAAGTAGTTATTATAAATGCTTGATAATTAAATAAACAAATAAATAAATGTATAAACTACTTTATAGTTAATTTATTTACAATTTTTTTTTTATAATTAAAGGCTATGAAACAAAAATTTAAAATACATGTGTCCTTACAATTTAGCCACTTTATGTGCAGCAATAGTTTCATACCTGTTTCAAGAGACTCATTCTATTAACAATAAGAGTGACGTCACAAATTCAAGTAACATTTTTTATTGCCAAGATAAAAGGAGATACATAGTTTGAAGAGTTTTTTGCAGAATATGCGTGACTGCCAAAGAAATCTGATACTACCCGCCATAAGCCCACTTATCGGGTAATTTGGGCTTTCTGTCGGTGAAAGCAGAAAGTCTTTTATGTGCCTACTTATATGTATCACATAAATGTATTATATTATACATATGTATGGAGCTTCTGTACATGGTAAGTTGTCGGTCGAGCGACTGTATTTTGTCTAATAATTAGTAAGATAGTTTAAAATAGTTCATCAGAGAACAGCACATTGTAGATGCCTTACGAAAGACGATGGTTAGACAGTAGGTATTATAAACGGATTCCTGTCCTTTACAGTTACCAGGGTCAACAAAACTCCAAGGTAAAAGGCATTATTACTATTTATTTAAAAAGGCATTATTACTATCATTTTTTCAAGCCCAACTTAGGAATTTGCCCAAGGCTCACTATACAATCACCTATCATGAGATATTTGACTTAAATAAAAGTAAACGTTGACAAAACGAAGACTTAAGAAAATAATTAATAAGATACAAAATAAAAGTATACAAGATTAAAGAGAAATTCAATTTATTCAGCAATACAGATACGAGCTCACACATCCCAATATAAAGAGTATTAATTAACATTTTACCTTAAATCAAAAAAGGATAGTAGAAATAACAATTAAATAAGGGCCTACTCAAGTGTGTAGACTATTGAAATATTCCACAAACAAGCTAATTACTGAAGAATAAAACAAAAAAATAATATTTTAACAAAAAATGTTTATGTATAATTGTATACGTTAGTTAAAACTTTATAACTGATATTACAACTGTACTCTTAGTGCACCTACCTTGCCAGATTTCTACACCACCCAAAGGATAACTGGTAGAGAAGGCCCAGAGCATTAAGTACGCCGATGTACACAAATTGTAAATAAATAAATAAAAACCGACTGCTTGAAAATATGAAAATGAAATTTAAAAACGGGGGATTTTAATTAGTATAATTTTCATATACAGAGTGTCACTTTTACAATCAAGACGAAGCTAACGACACTTAAAACGCCAAAATCCATCAATTCGTTCAGACCACAGAGCGAGACAAAGAAATATACATTGACGAGTAAAAAGGTTGTTAATTTCAAGCAAGTGTCTTGCTAAATTAATTGGATTTACAAGAAATAGTTTTATTAGTAATCGTTCCAAAAGTAATAAACATGTTTGTTTTACAAACAGTTACCTACTTAACAATACAAATATAAAATTATTTTGAAAAATAAATCACAAAAAAAACTCAAATTAATAAAAAAACATAATACATACTTAGCTTATGTTAATATAACATATGTATAATATATATGTATAATGTAATATATTCATTAAATTATTAAAAAAACTTACTTAAATCTTAAGTATATGCTGGTTCTGTAAGGATTTAAAATTAAATAATTATTAAATGTATTTTTCTAAGCCATACATTTGTTTGATTTATTTGTGAGTTTAAATTTCATCATGTACTCCAACACTCACGAGGCTTAAAAGGGAACCCAATAATGTCTGTTCCACATATAATTATTTCTGTTTTTTTAAATTATGTCCTGACTTCAACATCATGACGCATACTACGAGTAATATTTATATTGTACTGACATTGCTGACAAGTGACAAGGAAATTTAAGTTTTTTTTTTACAGAAGTTCTGTTCTTTGCTTTGTCTATGTCTGCCTTCTCTCCTTTCTTAGATTATTTGGACATTTAAATAATCTAAGTTTCTTTTACTAAATTTTTGCATCATTCTATTTTTTTTATTTTTTTGATATAAAACCTAATGTCATGATTTTAAACTAGGGTTCAACATACTAGGGTTGTGCAAAATAATGGTTTTATTACATAGGTCTTCAATCGATCCAATCGATTTCATCATGAATTCCGTTTTTGTCGACTTTTTGCAAGTAATTAAATCAGTTAAATTACTACAGTAATTATTTACATTACACTTTAAATTACCTTGAAACCATTTTACATTCTTTAACACGAAAGTTAAATACATTTCACCGTGATTCCGCTGTCATCGCTTTTACAGTAAAAAGATTTCCTGTAACACCCACGCCACGTCTTTGTATGTCACATATCATTTGCTCAAATCACCTATACAAACAAAAAATCCTATTTTTGGGATCACAATATTGACAGTAATAAAGACAGGTCTTGTAGCGAGCGTGAGCGGAAAAAGTGATGAGCTGAAGCGATTAATGTGTGTACATGATAAGATCGACTAAATTCGACTAATTTTTAATGAATAAAACTCAAAATTATTTTAAAACTTACTATTTCTTTTCCTAGTAGAAGGTATTTCAAGTAATACACGGTAATGACAATTTGTGATAATTAATGTTAAAATGTAAAAATTAATTCTAAATACAATTTTTTTTAGAGTGAATTGTTCCAGTGATTTCAACTTACAATGGAGTAGAGTAGGTAGCATTGAATTGATATTTTCTGCACAAAATTAATATAAAAATACGACTCGCATGGAGTTAGCCAGCCAACTCATGACCCGTTTGCACTAATCCATGGATCGCAAAACTGAACTCGTAAAAGTAAAATACATCTCATGTAATATGTATTTTCGTTTGACGTTTTTAACGTAGGATACATCGTCAATTGATTATTTATGAGTCGCCTTCGAACACGACAAGAATAAAAGATATCGGCAACATTCGAAGGTATATAAAAATATAATCATTTCGATGTCGTGTAGTGATCAGGGTTGAGATATTAGATGTTTAGGAATTATTGTTTGTTTCTATGTTACTGTGGTCATTGAATATATGTATTTCAAGTACTTGTTTAGGGTACTGAAAACTATTGAATAAAGGCTGTGTGAGACTGATTTTTGTGAAAGTTTGTGGTCTACGGATGACGCCTGTAGGTAGCAAAATACTACATATTATTTATATTTAATATCTTGTTTTAGTTAAACAAGTCGTCGTCGTAACAGTTATATGAAGATGTTTAAATTCCATGTCCGTCCGTGTGGTGACGGATTAAGAATACAAATTGTCACCACCCCAATTCATCCCGTGGGTATCGTAAGAACCGACTAAGGGAGCAAACTAAGCAGGACAACAGCACTGCAAAGAGAAGGAAAACTTGAAACAAACCCTATACCAACCCGTCTGGCCTGCGTGGTATAGTAGGCCAAAACCTTCTTTCTAAGGAGAGGCCTTTGTCCAGCAGTGGACTAGTATAGGCTATTGATGTGATGTGAAATTCTATGGTGTTAAAAATATCACACTTAAAAATTAATCAAAGAATATTATTTCCTTTGATTTTTTCAAGAAACCTTTTCCGTCATTTTGAAACCTCACGGTTAGCTACAAAAATCTCTGAGACCCGGCTTGTGTGACTAGTCATTTAGTAGACTAATTAAACCCAGCCCTTCTCTAACCAGGACACTTTCTTAATCGCAAGGAAGCAGCTTAATTAAGAGATCAAAGACGTGGCGTGTTGTAACCTAAATCTATGCACTATACGTCACAGTATACAAAAGTTGCATGTGCGTTCACTAGCAGCCCGTGAGTGTAACGATAACACTTAGAAGTGCTGCGGAAAGTGGATACTGGAGGCGCAGTTGACCTCCGTGTTGCATTGCTGCTGGGTGCTCACCTGGAAGTAAAAATAGCTTAAAGATTTTGCATAAATACTCGCAAAGGGGTAAACAGAGGGATATTAGATGCACACATTCGGCGACTTTAACACTGTCCAACAACAACATATCAACAAATATCTACTTTATAAAAATTTCTAAGAATATTATTATCACATTCGATGTATTTTAGTGTGCTTATTTAAAAAATCTCACTAGTATTTACGTGTGCAGCTTTAAATTCTTGAGATTTTTCGAACTACCCACATTTAAGGCGACGATGCATATTAAGTCAGTTTCAATTAGCACATTAAACTGAAATTAAACTAATATTAGTAATATAGGATTGCCTCCTAAGCCTACTGCTGTCAAAGAGTTAAATGGGCAAATGAGAGATTAATACTAAGTGAAGTAGTTTATGTGTGAAGCGAAGAAATTGTTTTTTTTATGGTATTTAAGCAGACAGCTGATGGTAAGTGACTACCGCCGCCCATGGTCACTTGTAACTCAATGGTCACAAGTGCGTTGTCGATCTTGTGAGTCCCTCCCCTAGAATCAGAGGGCAACTCGAACTGGTTGTAACCGATCTTTCTAACCGTAATGATTTTGTCATAATTCAATTTTAGAAGATGGCAATCGGATGACAGGGTGTGCGATTCGACAATAAAATTCCAAGAAAATTTCATGAATCAACGAAGTATTAACAAATTTAAGTCCTTAGTAAAACAAAACCTACCTATACTGTAATCATATAGTTCTCTTTAACATTGTACATGGACTTAAAAAAAGCCACCTCTGTGGTTTGTTTAGGTGCTTCTTTCCAGAGCGAGTCTTAGGAAATCCCGGCGCCTTCTAGCTGTAAAAGCCGACTTGTAAAAATATCTAAATGGATTTACTTGCAGAAATAAATATCATCATTTCATTTCATGACAAGTGCAAACTATTGAAATAATATTACAAAAGAATTGTCTGTTACTGGAAACTGCGCTATTATATATGTTTGATAAGCAACCATAATCAGGTCGATCGGACACCTTCGTTCCTCGGAGAGCATGTTAAGCCTTCGGTCACGGTTGCTAAAGAAACATCTTAGCAATCCTTACCCTAAGTTATTATTAGGGTTAGGTAGGGTAGTTGGATCCCTACAAATCCAACAGCAGTCCTTTATGTAAAAAAATAAAATTCAGTGGTATTTTTTGAATAAGCCGTTTGAGAAAAAGGCGCGGAGGAAGAAATTTAAGTGTATATTATACATGAAATGAATACTTTTGTCACGCTTTTCGTTATACAATAAAATAAAATATTTATTTTGGAAAGTTTCATACGTCAATTAGTGTTGGTAAAATTAGTGCAATGAGCTTGAGAATCTCAACCAATGTAGCCCTGCCATCAAATAATCATTTTAGTTTTGTGCGAACCAGTTACCAGTCTTAAACAGTAAGTAACCAAGAAGTAAGCTACTTACCGCTCAGCACATGGACGAGTACAGATCTTGGGTTAGCATTGGCCGGTGCACAAGTATACCGGCCTGAGTCCGGTGCTTTGGCCCTCTGCACCAGCAAATGTGATGTGGTGGTTTCCCCCTTTTCCGTGATCACGGATACGCCACCACGGGGAGAGTCGTAGTTTATTTCCTGGGAGAAAGAGACATCGTGTGAAAATTTGTACATTCCTTAGACTATCATTCTGAAAACACCGTTAGAAAATATATCGAAAAATTTTAAACATAATACTCGTAATTCAGGACTGTAATTCGTTTGGTCCAGTTTTCTGTAAAGCTGTGGTATTATACCGGTGGAGTCAGCGCATATTTTACAAATAAAAATTCATCATCATCTTGAACAGCTTTTAGTAGTCCACTGTTGAGCATAGACCTCTCCTTACACATTAAGTTTTGACTTTTTTTTATGGTTTAAGGGAGCAAACAAGCAGACGGGTCACCTGATGGTAAGCAACTACCGCCGCCCATGGACACTTGCAACTCAAAAGTAACAAGTGCGTTGACGCCCTTGGAGTCCCTCTCGCTAGAGGCAGCGGGAGAGGGAGATTTGGGCTCCCGTAACCTCACTAACCCAGTGAAAAGCAATGAAAGAATTGCTGAAGACCAGTTTTCTGTGAGGCCGCGGTATCACTCCGGTCGAGCCGGCCCATTCGTGCAGAAGCATGGCTCTCCCACGGTCAAAATACTATGCTAATCTATACAAATAAATAAAATTGGAGTGTCTGTTTGTAATATTAAAATAACCGCTTTTTACTAAATGCATATGTATGTTTACACGGTACATATGCCAAAATAACAATTTTTACAATTTTTGTCTGTCTGTCTGTTTGTTCCGGGTAATCTCTGGAACGGCTGGACCGATTTCGACGGGACTTTCACTGGCAGATAGCTGATGACATAAGGAGTAACTTAGGCTATTTTTCTCTCAGAAAACCCTTTAAAATTTTGCCCAGTCAGGGAATCTAACCCACCAAGGCAGCGCTTTTCAAGATAGTTGTATATAAAACTAATTCTCAGATCTTGAAATCAAACTTAGAGTAAATTTAGCAGCACTTATAAAGTGATTACGACGAATTCTTAAATATAATTACGTGGATTTCTTTGTCTATAATACGATTAAAACTAATTTATCCGGCACCGTTCCAACAATAAAACAAGCGTGAACGTGAAGACACTGAGTTGAATTAAATTTGATTAATTGCTACCTAATTGCTTTGAAATTGAGATAATATTTATACTTGTTCACGCTCGCTGAATGACGACGTATATCACTGGTTCCTAATTTGTTTGTGAAGATATTCTCGTCTCGTTTTAACACGTAAATGATGAAATTTGTTTATCAGGACCGTTACTTAAGAGTTCAGATAAAGATAATTTATCTATACATCTATACAAATAAATAAAATCGGAGTGTCTGTTTGTAATATTAAAATAACCGCTTTTTACTAAATGCATATGTATGTTTACACGGTACATATGCCAAAATAACATTTATTACAATTTTTGTCGCCAAAACCTCCTTTCTAAGGAGAGGCCTATGTCCAGCAGTGGACTATTAAAGGCTGTTGATGTGATGTGATGTGATGTACAATTTTTGTCTATCTGTCTGTCTGTCTGTCTGTTTGTTCCGGGTAATCTCTGGAACGGCTGGACCCATTTCGACGGGACTTTCACTGGCAGATAGCTGATGACACAGGGAGTAACTTAGGCTACTTTTTTAGACTAGCTTCGCCCCGCGGCGTTACCCGCGGTTATAACAACAAACGCGGGTAACACCGCGGGTCTCAGCTAGTTTATTTATATAACTTAATGCATAAGTTGTACACAGGCGGACTTAATACCCAGGGCATTCTCTGCCAGTCGACCTTCGGGTGATGTAGAAAAATGATGATAAGAAAACAGAGAATTTGAGTTTATTTATATTACATTTATTAATATAAGATAAATCTAACTTACATATATACACTATATACTATAAATAAAATACTATATTCATTATTACACATATACATAGAGGTCCCAAATATACACATACAATACATGTAACACCATCATGGTAGGGTGATCGATCCCATTAGATTTTAAAGAAAATTAGATATCTGAGAGTGAAAAATCAAAAACGTCTCGCGAGCTGTGGTGCAGAGCAGACGTGCCGCTAACCATTACCCTAATTTTAAAATAAATTAGAATAACGCAACAAGCTATTATCACGCGTTCGCGTCTGCAGAATAAGTCTCAAACTTAAGTGATCAGTGTGTGTGCTATTGGACTTTACGCATTTGTATAGTGCGAAGGTAACTAGTCTCGGTATCTTACTGGAAAGAGAGGGCAACCACATCCCAACTCTGTCATACAATACGTGAGCTGAACGTATCACAGAACTATGAGCGTTTTGCGTTCACCCACTGGATGTGGCTCGCTTACTAATTTATCTAATGTAGACTCACCTGATTTCTCTGAAGAACGTAATGTCGCGAAGCGAAATAAGCGGAAACGATCTGAAGATCTCAGCAATGAGATAGTTGAAATGCGCAAAGAAATGGGCCAAATGTTAACTTTGATGAAATCGGTGGATTCCAACCAAAAACAATTCATGGAAAGAATAACAGCCGATATGACCTCCATAAAAGAACAAATGTTCGATATTAAATCTACGATTTCTGCCATAACAACTGAACAAGTTGCGATGAAGTCGGATATAACAACGCTACAAAACAAAGAAAATACTCTGCAAAAATCTATCGACAATATGCAGTTGAAAGTTGAGAAGCTGACGTCAGCGGGTTCACAACCAGGGAACAATATTAATTTTTCTGAAAATATAATCACTGAAATTAGACAACGTGAGATAAGAAGCAAGAATATTGTTATAGCTGGTATACCAGAACCAGTCTCGACAAATAAAGACGACAGAAACGCCGCAGATAAGCTAGAAGTCATTAAGATACTAAAAACAATAAAATCCGACTGTCCAGAACCTACAAGCACGATGAGATTGGGAAAGTATATCAAAAACAAAAATCGACCTACAAAAGTTTGTTTTAACTCAACAGAAATGGCCAAGAATATACTACGCAGCAGGGACCAAATCACCAACACAGATATTAAGATTTATTCGGATCAGACAAAACAGCAGCAGAAGTATCTACATGAACAAGTAACGGAACTAAAGCGTCAAACTGAAAAGGGTAACACTAATTTAAAAATCAAGTACATCAATGGCGTACCAAAACTAATTGAAGATATTAAAATTCCAAAAAACTAAATGCGATTGAAGATCCTGATAGTACTCCGAACGATTGTACAACTTATGAAATTGTGGATACCTACGATAACATCTCGAGTAGCAAAAAAGCGATTCGATTTTTGTATGCCAATGTTCGTAGTATAGTGAAACCGCAAAAATTAGACGAACTTAAGTGTGTAATAAAATTATTTCCAAATACCCTACACTTCATTATTCTTACGGAGACCTGGATAAAAAATGAAGACGAAGCGAAAAGAACCCAAATTTCTGGGTATAAGCACTACTACAGTTATAGATGTAATACTAGGGGAGGAGGAGTCTCCATATTTGCGCTGGAAAGTCTGGACCATTATGAACTCGAAGAGCATAATTCAAGCGGCAACCACTTAATTTGGATACACTCTAAAACTTTTTCATTGAACATTGGCGCTGTGTATAGGAAACCGGAGTCTACTAACATCAAAAATTTCCTCGAAAGTTACAGTCGCTATTTGCAGAGATATGACAGAGTAATAGTATTTGGGGATCTTAACCTTAACCTGTTAAGTGGTGACCTCGCGGTTTCTGAATACAAAGACATCTTACGCGAAAACGCTTGCAATATTATGAACAAAATCGACATCGGGTATTGCACTCGAGAAACTGTATCCTCAAAAACAATAATTGACCATGTAAGCTGCAGCTTAACAGATAACAAATTTCATTTTGTTTTAATAGAAACACCTATGTCCGATCACAAACAAATATATTTTGAAATAAAAAAACATCAACCTCAGCCTATCAAAAAAACAAAGTATGAAGCAATTAATTATGAGAAACTATATAATATTACGGCAGAAGACAAGACTAGTAATGACAGCTGTAGTTACCTATTACTTGAACAAAGAATATTATCGGGCATCAACAAAAGTAAAACTATTAAATTTAAAGTTCAAAATCTCCCTCGCCAAGATTGGATAAATAAAGAAATAATAGAAGAGATAAACAAAAGAAATATGCTGTGGAAACAACATAAAAGATACCCTGATGATGAATCGAAGAGAAAAATGTTTGTTGATAAACGTAACGAAGTGACGTGCAAGATACAAGAAAAGAAATCTCAATACTATCATAAGCAGTTTGCCAATTGTAAATACAAGCCAAATAAAATGTGGAGTCTAATAAACAACCTTTCTCAGAACAAAATAAAAGACAATGCCAGGCCACCGAAGCTTTTAACGGCAGGGGGATATATTATCAGCGAAAAAGAGATTAGCAATCATTTTAATGAATATTTTTCAAATATTGGTTCAACCCTGGCAAATAAAATTCCAAAACGATACCATAATCAGACAATATACACTAATTCATTGGGAGTAGATTGTGACAATAATCTAACATTTACACAATTTTCTCATACCAACCCAACTGAAATTGCTGGAATAATCCGGGGTCTAGATAATAATACCAGCACGGGCTTAGATGGTATGAATACCAAATCGCTCAAATGTGTGTCCCCTTTGATACTCGAAGAACTTACCGACTGTATCAACACATGTCTTGACCAGGGAATATTTCCTGAAAGCCTTAAGATTGCTAAAGTAACACCGATTTATAAATCTGGCAGTAAAAGCGACCCTGGTAACTACCGTCCAATATCGGTTCTTCCAGTTGTGTCAAAGGTTTTTGAAAGAGTTTTACATAGCCGTATGGAAAATTTCCTAAGCCAACAAAATTTCCTCTATACAAAGCAGTATGGCTTTCGAGCGAAGTCTAATACGCTATCGGCAACTATAGATCTAATAACAAAAATAAAGACCAATATTGACAACAAACAAATAGCACTAGGTATTTTTATTGACCTGAAGAAGGCATTTGACACAATTAGCCACGAAATCCTTCTGAAAAAGCTCAATGATATCGGTATTGGCGGTGATGCACAC